CACGGCGGGGGCGGGGAGGCGGCCGGGGGCGGGGGGGACCCGCAGGAGGGTGAGTGTGCAAGGGGGGGTTGAGTGTGCACAGTCCTGGGCGGGGGAGAGCGGGGAAGGGAGGATGCGGGGGGCACAGGGGGAACAGGAACCCCCCCCCATGCACAGGGACCCTCCCCCGGTGGGGGTCAGCCCCATGCAGGCAGCCGCGGGGCAGTTTTTGGGGTCCCTTTGGGGTCCAAACGCGTGGGGAGCTCCGTGTCGGGGTGGGGGGCTCACGGGCCCTCCCCAGCACCGTCCTGGGGGCCTCATTCCCGCCCCCGCCACCAAGGGGCCCCCAGGGGGGACAGATTGGGGAGGTGGGATGGAGGGGTGGGATGGGGGGGGTAAATGCATGAAGCCGGGGGGGGGGGGGGGGGCCTGGGGGGGGGGGCGTGTGTGTCTGTGCAGTGTCACAGTGGGACCCCCACAGACAGAAGCTGGGGGGGTGTGGAGGTGTGTGCACAGGTGTGTGTGGGGGGGTGCGCTCTGTGTGTGTGTGTGTGCTGTGTGTGCTCTGCGTGTGTGCTCTGTGTGTGTGCTCTGTGTGTGTGTGTGTGTGCTCTGTGTGTGCTCTGCGTGTGTGCTCTGTGTGTGTGTGCTCTGTGTGTGTGTGTGTGCTGTGTGTGTGTGTGCGTGTGCTCTGTGTGTGCTCTGTGTGTGTTCATGCTCAGTGCATGTGAGTGTGAGCCTGCTGCGTTTGTGTGTGCATGTGTGTCCTCTGTGTCCGTGTGTTCTGTGTCCGTGTGTTCTGTGTCCATTCCCTCTATATCCTGTTTGTGTCCATCCCATGTCCATGTGTCCATCCCACATCTCTGTGTCCATCCCATGTGTGTGTGTCCATCCCACGTCTGTGTGTTTATGTCCATCTCATGTCCCTGTGTCCATCCCACATCCCTGTGTGTTTATGTCCATCCCATGTGTCTGTGTGTCCATCCCACATCCCTGTGTCCATCTTATGTATCCGTGTGCCCATCCCACATCCCTGTATCCATCTTATGTATCCGTGTGCCCATCCCACATCCCTGTATCCATCCTACACCGTGTTCATCTCATGCGTCTGTGTCCATCCCACACCCCTGCGTCCATCCCATATGTCTGTGTGCCCATCCCACATCCCTGTGTTCATCCCACATCCCTGTGTGTTTATGTCCATCCCATGTATCCGCGTGTCCATCCCACATCCTTGTGTCCATCCCATACCCATGTGTCCACCCATGTGTCTGTGTGTCCATCTCACATCCCTGTGTCCATCCCACATCCGTCCCCAGCACATCCGTGTCCATCCCCACTCAGGGGTCACACAGGTGGGCTCCGCTCCCCCCGCCCTCCCCCCGTGGGTGATTTATCGGGTCCGTTCTCCCTCTCCCGGCGCTTCCAAAGGTCTCGGATCCCTCCGATCCCCGCGATCCATCATCGGCCGCGGATCGGCCGCGGATTTACGGCCGCGCTGCCCGCGATCGATGCGGCCCCGACACCGCCGTGTTTGTGCAACAAATTACGGCGCAGGGGGGCCAGAGGGGAGGGTCTGGGGGCGTCGATGCCACCCCGTGTGTCCCCCCCCACCTCGGGGACACGGCGGAGCCTCGACCCCCGCGCGGGCTGAGCTTAATGAGCAGCAACAGTGAATTAATTAAGACGGCGGCGAGGGGAAGCCCGGGCGCTAATTAGCAGGGCTGGGAGGTGACGGGGACATGAGAGGACATTGGGGGTCCCCGGGGGTCCTGGCGGGGGAGGCGAGGCTGGGGGGCAGCGGTGAGAGCGGGGGAGGTGGAGGGGTGGGGGGTTCACGGCCAAATCCTGCCTAAATCCCCCCCTGGGCTGAGCCTGGAGCTGGTTACGCTGGGTTTGGGGGGGGCTCAGTCACAGTCAGATCCTGAATCCCTCCTGGGCTGAGTCTGCAGCTGGTAAAACTAGGCTTGGGGGGCTCAGCCCCACCTTTGGGGTCCCTCATATCCCTGCCTCAGTTTCCCCATTCTGCTGAGCCCAGACAGGGCCCAGGACCCGCCCCGGACCCCCCCCCCGGATGAGGACACGGACCCAGGCCCCCCCCAGGCTGTGGGGGGCTGAGCCGGGGAGGCTGAGCGGGGGGGGGGGCGGCGGGGCCGGATTTGGCCGCAGCACATGAATAAATTCATGACACCACGTCCCCGTGTCCCCGCCGGCCCCCCCCTGTCCCCCCCCCGCCGCTCTGACACAACCCCACGGTCACCAGCTGCCTCCGCGGCCCCCCAGGACCCCCCGGCTCAGGGGGGGGCACGTCCAGTGCCGCCCAGTGCCGCCCAGTACACGGTGCTGAAGCGTCCCCCGTGCCCGGGGGTGTCACCCCGCTGTCCCCGGGGGGGAACGGATCGAGGGGACCCCCGTGAGAATGGATATGGATGGGATGGGGGCGGCCACGGGGGGGGCCCGGGGCGGGTCGGGGACAAACGGCCCGAATTGGAGGAAAATTGTCCTTGAGGCCACAATGAACCAGCGGCGGGGACACACACACACACGGGGGGGTGGTCCTGGAGCTGTCGCGGGGCTGGGGGGGGAGTCACAGCGCTGGGGAGTCCCCGCTGTCACCCGCACCCCAGTGTGCCCTCCAAGCCCTCACTGCAGCCCCCTTCCCTGCCCTGGCACCCCCCGGGCACCCTCAGCAGAACCCCCCCCGCCTCCACCCCAGCTCATTAGCGAGTGCTGTTTATTAGGGCCGGGGGAAGTCAGGGGGCTGTGCCAGGCCCCCCCCGGGCAGTGAAGGGCTCGGGGATGGGATGGGATGGGATGGGATGGGATTGGATGAGATGGGGTGGGATGGGATGGGATGGGGTGGGGGTCCCCCCCCTGGAGCAGCTGCATCGCCCCAGGGCTGAGCGGTGCTGGGGGGGGTGTCTTATCTGCACCCCAAACTCCCCGTGTGCCCCCCCCGGATGGTGCTGAGCCCCCGCCCCACAGCGGTGCTGGCGGGTCTCATCGACACCCTGAGCTCCCCCTGTGCCCCGACACCCTGAGCTCCCCCTGTGCCCCCCGGGATAGTGCCGAGCCCCCACCCCACCACGACCCCCCCACTTTGCCCCCACCGTGACGAGCCGTGGGGTCCCAGGCCCGTCCCGGGGGGAAGGGGCTGCGCGGGGATCCCCGGGGCGGGGGGATTTCGTGCCCCCCCCTTGTCCCTCCCCCCCGGCAGGAGATGGACGGACAGGTCGGGCCGGCTTCGATTCTCTGGACAAGCGACATTTATCAGGGATTCAGGAGATGTCGGAGCACAAACCCAGCTCGGCAGTGGGGGGGGCCCGCCGGACCCCCATCTCCGTCCTCACTGCCCCCTCCCCGCCGGGCCGGGGGGGGCCGGGGGGGCTCATTGCGATGCGCCTCATGCCCACCTGAGCCGGGCGCTGACAAATAGACATTTAAATGAGACAATTAGCGGGGCCGCGCGCTGACATTTCTAATGGATTAATGCGCCTCGCGCCTAATCCAGGCAAAATTCCCCCAATTCCGGGCCCGCGGCGCTGGCGGTGATGGACGAGCCCGCGGGGACCCCCGGGCCGGGGGGGGGCACCGGGGAGGGGGTGGGAGGGGACGGGAACGGGGATGGGCGTTTATATGTGTGTGTGTGTGATATGTGTGTGTGAGCACGTGTGTGTGAGAGCACACAGATGTGTGTGTGACACGTGTGTGTGAGAGCACATGTGTGTGTGACGTGTGTGTGAGAGCACACAGATGTGTGTGTGACGTGTGTGTGAGCACACGTGTGTGTCTGTGTGGGTTGGGGGTCACATGTCCCTCCATGTGCCCCCGTGTCGTGTCCCCACGTGTCCCCTCCATGTCCTCCCCTATCTCCCACCGTGTTCCCCGTGCGTGCCCCCCCCTGTCGCCCCCCCCCCGTGTCCCCGGTGTCCCCCCGTGCCCGGGCAGTGACAGATGCTCCAATTCCCAGCAAACTTCCCCCAAATCGATGCCCCCCGTCGGTGGCCGTGGTCGATCAATGGCATCAATTACACCCAAAACGGCGCTGGGGAGGGGAGGGGAGGGTTGGGGACCCCCTTAACCCCCCCCAGTGCCCCGAGACCCCCCAGGGCTCCTCTGCACCCCCCGGGGGTGCTGGAGGGCTCCGAGAGCAGTTGATGCCGCCGGGGGGGGGTTCAGCCCCCCTCCTCCCCATCGACTCGAGGCAAATTTGACATTTTTAAATCCAGATATTTAAAGGGATCGATCGGGATGTCAGAGAGACCCCCCCCCGCACCGAGGGGGGGGAACACTGAGGGGTCTGGGGGCTGCCCAGGCTGCGGTGACCCCCCCAGTGGTGCTGGCGGGGGCTGGACCCCCCCAAATGGGCCGCGGGGGGGGGCCTGGACCCCCCTGTTTGGGGCTGTCGGGGCCGGGGGGCAGCGGAGCGTGGGCGGGGGTCCCGCGGGAGCCGCTGTCAGGGAGGCAGCGAGGCGAGGGTGGGCAGCGGGGAGGGCCCGTCAGCCCTGACGGCAGCGAGATGGGGGGGCTACAGCGGCCCCCCCCCCGGCCACGGCACGGGGGGGCACCGGGGGGAGCTCCAGCTCTGCCGAAACCGGAGGGACAGCAGAGAGCAGGGGGGAGGTACCCCCAAAACAATGGGGGGGGGCTGGGGAGGCTCGTTCGGGCAGCGGCGATGGGGGGGATGAGCCCCCAAACCTCAGGGCAGCAGCGGTGGGGGACAACGCACACCCAAAACCCACAAAAACGGGGAGTCTGGGGGTCCCCATTCGGGCAGCGGCGAGAGGGGGTGATGGACCCCCAAACCTCAGGGCAGTAGCGATCCGGGGGGGGGGGGTGTCGCAGCCCCCCTGGGCACCCCTGAGAGGGGATTCGGGGCGGTGGGAGAGGTGGTGGGAGGGGGATCTGGGGCTGTGGAGGTCTGGGGGGGGCTCCAGGCCCCCACAGGTCCCCCCGTGTGCGGTGCCCCCCCCGCGGTGCCCTTTGCCCGGGGCAAAGTCTGGGGGTGACGCGGCGACGGCAGCGCGGGGACAGGTGGGGCAGGGGGGCCCGGGGGGGCTCACGGGGGGCCGGGGGGCCTCACAGGGTCCCGGGTGGGCTCACAGGGTGCTGGGTGGGCTCGGGGTGTCCTGGGTGGGCTCACAGGGTCCGGGATGGGCTCAGGGGGTCCCGGGTGCACCAGCAGCTCCCTGGAGGTCCCTGACATGGGGGGGGACACCGGCATGACCGGGGGTCCCTGACTCTCACCCCCCCCCCCCCCCCCCCCCCCCCCACCCCCGGGGCCCCCCCCAGGGCCCCCCGGACCCACCCCCCCGAGCCCCCCCCCCCCATGGCCAAGAGCCTCGTGGTGGCCCTGGGGCTGTGGGCGCTCGGGGGGCTCCTGGGGCTGCACCACCTGTACCTGGGCCGCGACCGCCACGCCCTGCTCTGGATCCTCACCCTGGGGGGCTTCGGTGCTGGGTGGCTCTGGGACCTGTGGCACCTCCCGGGTTGGGTGGCGACCGCCAACGGCCCCTCCCGACCCCCCCAAAGTGGGGCCGTGCCCACCCTTAGCCCCCCGCGCGTGGCGGGGCAGCTGCTGGTGGGGGCGTATTTCGGGCTGGTGGCCGCGCTGGGGGTCCCGTGGGTGCCCCCCCCGCTGGCCGTGGCGCTGGGGGTGCTGCTGGTGGCCTCGGTGGGCGACCAAGGAACCGACCGCCCCCGCGTCCTGGTCGCCGCCTTCCTCTCCTCCCTCCTCTTCCAGGGCGGGCTGTTGCCCACCAGCCTGGCGACCACCGCGGTGGCCGCGTGGCACCGCCGGTTCGAACCCCCCCGGGACCCCCCGCCCCCGCTGTCGGCCCGGCTGTGCCACCTGGGGCTGGGGGTCGCGGCTTTCGGGGCCCCCCTGGCCTGGGGGGGGGTCAGCGGGGCCCTGGGGGGCGCGGGCACCGTCCTGGCGCTGCCCCTCAGGGTGGGGGTCCTGCCCCTCCGCGCGGGGTGGGCGCTGCTCGAGGGGCTGGGGGTCGTCGGGGGGGCCCCCGAGGGGGGTCGGGGGGGCGCGGGGAGCGGAGCGAACGAGAGGAGGCGGCGGGCGCTGGAGGTGAGGGGGACGCGGGGGGGGACGAGCGGAGGCGGGGGGGGGGTGGGGGGTCTGTGGGGCGGAGGATGTTGGGATGGGGGGCTGTGGGGGCTGTGGGGTGGGGGGCTGTGGGGTGGGGGATTGTGGGGATGCTCTGCTGGGGGGTCCATGGGGCAGGGGATGATGTGCTGGGGGTCTATGGGGTAGGAGGGGCTGCGATGGGGGTCTGTGGGGTGGAGGGGGTGGGATGGGGGTCTGTGGGATGGGGGATGCTGGGATGGGGGGGCTGTGAGATATGAGAGGCTGGGACGGGGGGTCCACGGGGTGGGGGAAGCTGGAATGGGGGGTCCAAGTGGTTCGGCCGCTCCCACACTTCGGGGGGGCCACACCCCCGCTTTGGGCTCCCCCTCCACCGTCCCCACCGCCCTGCCCTGTGCACCCCGCAGGTCCTGGGGCTCCGCGGGGGCTGCTCGGCCGAGGACGTTCAGCGGAGCTACCGGGAGCTCGTCAAGCTCTGGCACCCGGACCACAACCGGCACCGCGCGCGGGAGGCCGAGCGGCGCTTCATCGAGCTGCAGGAGGCCTACGAAGAGCTGGCGGGGCCGCGGCGGGCGGTGGGGGGGGTGACACTGTGACAAACACGACACTCCCCTGTCCCCTCACCCCGGCCGTCCCTCGTTGTGTCGAGGCGGGACTCGAACCCGCATCTCCCGATCCCAGATCCCCTCCCCACAGCGACCCCCCCCATTCGGGCATTTCCGCCTGTTTCCGTCCACGTTCGGCGCTCTTCGCCCCGCCCATTATGGGCGTGATCAAAAGATCCAGGAATCTGATTGGTTGTCTGTGGGGTTAGTCACGCCCCTCTCGCGGGGAGGGCGGGGCTTAGCTGCGGAACGGCGATGGAGGGCGGGACTAAAGGGGCCTCCCCGCGCTGCCATTGGTGGAGCTCTCCCCGCGGGTGCAGGGTGATTGGCCGGCGGGGCGGGGGCCGCGCGCTGATTGGCTGTCGCGCGGTGGGGGCTCTGCCGGGCCGTGGCCCCCGCGCGGAGCGATCGCGGGAGGAGGAGAAGGGGGGGGGCAAAAAGAGAGACCCCCCGGGACACCCCCGGAACCCCCCGGTGAGTGCGGGACACCCCTCGGGACACCCCCCGGACACCCCCCCGACGTCTCCGGGATCGGCCCGGAGGGCGGGAGGAGGCGGGGGAGTCGCTGTTGGGGCCGGGCCGAGGGGTCTCGTGAGGGGGTGTGGGGGGAGGGCTGAGGGTCTCCTTGGGGGGGCTGAGGGGTCTCTTGATGAGTTGGGGGGTCTGAGGGAGTCAGAGGAGCCTTGTGAAGGTTTGGGGGGGTCACAGGGGGCCTCGTGGGGGGTTGGGGGGCTGAGGGACCTCAGGGGGGGGTCTGAGGGGTCCAGTGGTGGGGGGGGGCGGGGGGCCTTGTGGGGCTTGGGGGGGGCTCTGGCGGTATTTAGGGGGGGGTGGGAGGGACCTTGGGGGGGGTCTGGGGGGCTTTGTGGGGATGGGGGGGGGCTGAGGAGCTTTGCCAGCCCAAGGGGGTGACAGGAATTTTGGGGTTGTCAAATGGCTCCCAAATCCCCAGGGACTGGGGTTTTCCCTTCCTTGGGTCGTTATTCCCGACAGTTAACATGGTGAAAATAGGCAAGAAATTATTATTATTACTATTATTATTATTATCATCATCATCATCATTGTGTTCCCCCCAGAACCCTCCCAAAGTCCCTGGGTTCAGCACAGATTCTCACCCTCCCCATCCACTCAGGGATTTCTCCGTGGCACATCCAGGCAGCAGGATGTGGAGAGGCTTTTGCAGAGCCTGGTTCCCACTTTTCCAGAGTTTAAATCCCAC